CCATCAGGGATAGACCTAGCCCCTGCCTCTCCCCTTTCCTGCGGAGTAATTGATCTCGGGGCCTCAGTGTCCCTCTCTTTCCCTGGACCTCAGCCAGGCCTCCTCAGGTAGCCCACGACACTTCAACACTCTCTGCCTCCACCTTCGGGAAGGAGGGAGACAGCGGGTGGTGGGCAGGTCCCTGCTGGTCAGAGGGCTCTCCCAGGTGCAGAGAGCAGCGTGCCCGGCACGAGCAACGCTGTCTCTGCCTAAAGACGTACCAAAGGGGCCATTTACCAAGGCCAACTGGGGACCAGGGACCACGTGAGATCTTCATGGCCATTCAGAAACTGCATGCACCCTCACCCCAGTCCTGTGTGCTACCCTCTATTTAATTTATTTTTTTACTCCTCACCCAAGGACATTTTTCCTTTTTTTTTTTTTTTTTTAGTTCAGATAGAGTGGGAGGGAGGGAGAGAGCAACATCGACGTGAGAGGGACACATCAACTGGTTGCCTCCTGCATGACCCCCATCAGGGCCGGGGATGAATCGCAACCAAGGGCGGGGATGAATCACCCTTGACTGGAATTGAATCCACAACTCATTGGTCCGTGGACCGACACTCTAACCGCTGAGCCAAACCGGCCAGGGCTATTTTATTTCATTTAAATAAAATTTATTTTTTATCCTCACCTGGATAAACTTATCTTCAGATAGAGTGGGAGGGGGAGAGAGAGAGAGAGAGAGAGAGAAACATCAATGTGAGAGTGACGCGTGGATTGGTTGCCACCCACACGACCCCAACTGGGGCCGGGGACAAACTGCAACCGAGGTACATGCCCTTGGACAGAATCGAACCCTGGACTCTCTGGACCGCAGGCCAACGCTCTAACCGCTGAGCCAAACCGGCCAGGGTGAGAACTCTCATTTCTATCCCCACCCCGTGCACCCCGACCACCAAAGGCAGCCTTGCAATCTGCTGAACCCCGCCAGTCTGCCCTCAGTAGGTACAGACAAGCTCGGATAGCACTGTGACCTCCTCCTTCCTTGTGATTGGAGCCCTGCCCTGCCCTGACCACACCGAACCCCAGAGGTGTTCGTGCCCACGTCCAGGGACCTGCGGCGTCCCTTCTCACGGCTGCACAGTACCTCACCTGGCGATGTCCCAGTTTATTTAGCTGGGCCCTTAACGAAGACACCTTGGCAGTTTCCGACCTTTTATCACAGCCGACGCCACAGTGATCAGCCTCGTACAACCCCCAGGTCACACGTGAACAGGTGTCTCTGGCACAGATTTCAGGAAGCGGGACTGAGGACAAGTAAGGTCCAACGTGAGCATGGAAGAATCTGCTCTGTCCCTCCTGCTCCCACCAGCAGTGCCCGAGGCCCTCACCCCAGCTCTGCCATTGCAGGATGTGGTCTTGTTTGGGGGTTCAGACAGAGGAGGAACGGAATTGTAATGTAATTTTTTTTTATCCTCCTCTGAGGACATTTTTGCATTTATCTTCAGATAGAGTGGGAGGGAGAGAGGGAGGAAGAGAGAGAGAAAAACATCGATGTGAGAGATACATATTGAGTGGCTGCCACCCACACGACCCCAACCGGGGCCGGGGACAAACCACAACCGAGGTACGTGCTCTTAGCGGGAACCGACCCGGGACTCTCTGGCCTGTGGGCCGACGCTTTAACCGCTGAGCAAAACCAGCCAGGACCCTAGTATATACTTTGTGTTCTGACTTGGCTCATGGTGATTTTTGCTTCCAGTCTTTTTATTTTTTATTTTTATGGTGTCTGGATTTTTTTTTTTTTTTTTTATCCTCATCCGAGGACATTTTTCGATATTTTGTTCAGATAGAGTGAGAGGGAGAGAGAGAGAGAGAAACATCGACGTGAAGGGACACATCGAGTGGTTGCCACCCACACGACCCAACCAGGGCCGGGGACAAACTGCAACCGAGGTACATGCCCTTAGCGGGAACCGAACCCGGGTCTCTCAGGACCGCAGGCCGACGCTCTAACCGCTGAGCCAAACCGGCCAGGGCTGGTGTCTAGATTTTTAATCATGCTTAGAAAACCCCTTTCCCACTCAAAGTTTTAAAGGAGGTCATTCATGTTTTCTTCAAATCGTTTAACACTTTCCTAAAATTCACTTTTGTGGCAAAATACACACGATGTGAAGTTGACCCTTTGAATCACGTGTAAGGGTGCAGTTCAGCGGTGTCAGAATGTCCACACGTCGGGGCCACCCTTGCTGCTCTCCATTTCAGAAGGTCTTGTCATTCTTTTTACGGACGTTACACTGTGACCTAGTTGACATGTATGATGCTGGTGTACGGTGTGGATAAACTGTGGACCCAACGTCATCTTTCCCTAGATGGCTATCACACGGCCCCAAGGTCATTTCTTGAGAACTCCATCTTCATTCTGTTTTATTAAGCCCATTTTAAAGTATGTTTTTTATTGATTTTCAGAGAGAGAGAAAAGGAGAAGGAAAGAGAGATGGGAACATCGATGAGAGAGAAACATCAATCAGCTGCCTCCCACACACCCCACACTGGGATCGAGCCTGTAACCCGGGCATGTGTCCTGACTGGGACTCGAGCCCAGACCTCTCAGTCCACGGCATGACGCTCAATCCAGAGTCACACCGGCCGGGCCATATTAAGCCCATTTTACAGTCGAGAAAAGTAAGAGCCAGAGAGGTGCAATGAAGAGACCGTCCCCAAGGTCACACCGTAAGCGTCACCACCGTCTCCCACGTCTGCCTGATTCCAGCCACCGATGTCCTGCTTTCAGGGGCTGAATGAGATTCGTTAGACCGCAGTCTTCATCAACCAAATTTAATCTGAGAAGAGCAGTCAGGCTAGGCAGTGAGGGCACTAGTGAGGGTCTGAGTGGTACCCACTGTGGCAGAGTCCGAAGAGAGGGACCGAGAGGCGGCACCTCGAGCTCAGAAGGGCTGGCAGGAGAAATGGGACCACCCTTCCAGTCCCTGGGAGCCCCTGGATGGGGCAGCTACTGCTGCAGCTTGGTTGTTGGCAGCACCCGCACGCGTGCATGGTGAGCACCAGGCGAGCGGCTCTGAAGGAAGCCCAGGCTCTCCATAGCAAGAAGCCACGGATGCTCTCCAAATACCAGCCACGCTGCGGTGCTACCTGCTCACGGAAGACTCACAAACTGTTTGGCATCCCTGTATGTTTCCCAGGATACGCCAGAAGGCACCTGAGACCCGGATACCTCTGGGCAGAGGCACTGTGCCCATGGGAGAGGCCTGTCCTTCCTCCAAGGGCTGACTCGGGCCAGGCCGCGGGACTCTGGATGGATCACCTTGCAGCTTTGTCCTCCATCTGCGACAGGAGGAGGTTGCTCCCCTCCCCAGGGCCTGCCTTTGAGGGCCTGTCTCCCCCTGGCCGCCAGGAGCTGGGGCTTAGGTGGGACTGTTCCCCAGCCCGGTGTCTTGGAGACCTGGACAGGGAAGCTGAGCATCAGAGCCATTCATCACCATGCTGTATCGTTGGCTCTTCCACAGAAAACAAATATTTTCTTGACCCACTTGTTGGTCAAAAATGGGAAATCAAAAGACAGATGGGGTGTCCGTCAGGAGGGGCCACCAGGCAACCAGCTCCTCATCTCCTACTGTGGTAAAACCACGGGACCCCGAGACCTGGTTGTAATGTCCGCAGCGCTGTCCTGAGGTCGGCCCTGCGGACGGCGGGGTAGCCCGAGGCTCTGGTGAGACTGGGGGCCTGCCCCAGAGAATATGGATATGGGGTCCAGACAAGAGCCAGCCCCTCCCTTCCCGGAGCCCAGAGAACAGGTGCTCGAGGCGGGGAAGGGGTGTTCCGGGCTCTGGCTCCCTACAACCAATCCGGGCGCCTGCTCCACGTGCGAGGCTCCGTGCACTCGGGACTGCCAGCACGCGGGGCGCACCACGACACCTGCAGCACAGGTGCCTTCTGCCCACCCTGCACAGGTGGGCATAGGGGGCGACACCAGGGCGCTGGAGCGGTGGGCGGGCCAGCTCCCACACCTGTAACTGCGGGCTCTGGAAGGGCGAACCCGGCAGATCCCACGCGCGTCCGCGGGCAGGTTGCGGGGCGATGCGCTCACGGCTGGAGTGGGCGGGGCCTGAGAAGGGGCGGGGCGATGCGCGGACGGTTGGAGTGGGCGGGGGCTGAGAAGGGGCGGGGCGATGCGCGCACTGCGGGAGGGCGGGGCCTGCGAAGGGGCGGGGCGGGCGCGCAGGCCGGGGGCGGGGTCTAGGTGGGCGGGGCGAGGGCGCGTGCAGTGGCGGGGAGGTGGCGCGCGGTGGGCGGGGCGGCGTGACGCGCGCCGACGCCGATCCCGGAAGCGGTGTCAGATGCTGAGGAGCCGGGCGGGCGGGCGCGCGGGCGGCGGGCGGCGCGGGGGACTTGTTGTTCTTCGCCAAGTCGGAGCCCGAGCGCGCGGCGGAGGCGGCGGCCCGGGGGGAGCGCGAGAGTGAGCGCGAGCGGGAGGAGAGCGCGTGCCCGCGAGGAGCCGCCGCGCCCCCGCGGCCCCCGCGCGACGCCAGGTGAGGGGGCTGGGCGGGCGGGGGGCGCGGTGCGGGGCGCGGTGGCGCCGGTCCGCCCCCGGGTCTCGGCCGCCGGGGACTTCGGCAAAGTTGGGCGGGACCCGGACCCCGAGCCCCCCGCCGGGCCGGAGCACCTGCCGTCAGGTGTGCTGCCCGCGCGTGTCGCCTGGGCGGGTTTTGTCTCGGCCCCTAGACCCGGTCGCCGTCCTCCCTCCTGGGGGGCGGGCGGGGTGCCGCGTGTCTCGACCCCCCCATTAGCCTGCATTTAGCCTCCGGAGACCCGCTCCGAGGCGGGAAGGCGGTGGCGAAAATAACCGGCCACGTGCAGGCAGCGCGTGGTCGCGCAGGGCCGCTCGGCCTCGGGTGTGGGCGCCTCCGCGGCTCCCGCTGCTGCCCGGCCGGCCCCGCGGCCGCTGCCCACGGTGCCCGCGGCCGGCCCCGCGCCGATGGGGTCGGGAGGAAGGAGCGGGGTCTCGTTGGCCGAGGTCACGTGGAGCAGCTGACCTGCCAGGGGTTCCCCGAGGGCGGCCTTGAGAGGGAGCTTCGGGTGGGGAGGGGGACGGGCACACGTGTGTCTTCCCCGAACCCAGGGTCCGCGCCCCCTTTTTCTCATCCGTGAATGAGCGTGTCTCCTAACTGGAGTGCGGGCCCGTCTGTGATTCTGCTGAGGTTAGGACACGGTACGGTGTCAGTCTGTCCGCGTGGGTCTCCGGAGCTGGGGGCCGGGGCGGACGGGCGCGAGCTCTGTCCCCATAGGAGGCTCGGGCGGTTGGGGACCCCCGCCCGAGGTGGGGCAGTGCTGTTGGGGCTGCTGGCAGTTCCGCTGTCAGCGGGGTTAATGATTACGCCTCTGTTTACCTTTCACACGGCCCTTCTGGCCAAGCAGAAATGGATCCTCCGCTTAACAGTTCATTCATCAGCTGACCCACGCGCAGCCACCTTCTCTGCTCAGGTGCTCACCCCACACAGGGTGATGGAATCAGAGGTTCCCGGCTTCTGTTGGCTGCCCAGGTGCCCCCCGGTATTGCATTGAGAAGGTCTTCGGTCAGTGATCGGTCAGTGATCGCGGCACTGGGGCTTTGAAGCGCAGGCGTTTCGGAATGCCGCCTCTGGAGCCCTGCTCCAAGCCTGCCACCTTCAGGTCTGGGGGGTCTGGGAAGAGGACGGTGAGCGGGACACTCCTGACACCTGTTGCATTCTGGGCAGCTGCCCAGCTTTACAAGCAGGGCCTCCCAGGTCACCCAGTCGGAGTGCTCCAGTTTGAGCCCGGGAGAGGGACCGCCTTTATCACTGAAAGCTGGACCCTCCTCATTTCAAAATAAAGCATCTATTCTCTGAAGACCCAAAGCGAGGCTTCTCCCAGGGCGGTTGCTTTCGAGCTTGAACACGGCTGGACTTCAAGGAACCGCTCCAAGTGCAGCCTCGCCCACTTTCAAGGTGGTTGCTAAAATGGGAGCTGAATCGAGGCCACGTGGGGAATGGGCTCTTACAGTGGGGAGCCGGTGCTACTCTGTCCGCCGCGGAGCACGGGGACTGTCTGGGCTCCGATCTGAGTTTGTTTACGGTCTCTCTCGGGTGGCCTGGGAGAAGCCCTGCCTGTGGCCTGGCTGTTCCCGAGTCTAAAGGTTTCTGGAATGAACTTTCTGGATGTCGGTTCAGTCCACAGGGGAAGTGCCACCCAGCCAGCTGGGAGCGTTCTATGGGGCTGCTCGCTCCTCTGGGCGGTAAACAGTGACTCACCCTCCCTGTGCCCGCCTCCCCACTGCTAGTGGAAGGTACGTGGCTCCCTCTGGTATTTACTTTTGCTTTTCATAATCACACACTCCCGTGCTTCCTCTTTCTTACAGTTTCAGGAAGTTGAAAGTGTCATCTTGAAACCGTAGGATTTTAGGGCAGGTAGGGATGAGTCTCAGATCACACAGTGCACACACACATACACACACAGTACACACACACACAGTTACACACACAGCCACACACACATATAGTCACAGTCACACACATAGTCACACTCACCCAATTCAGTCACACACACAAACACACACTCACACTCCGTCTTAGTTGAGGGAGCCCAGCCTGGGGTGGCCTGGCCTGGCCTGTGACGGTGGGGTCTGGGATCAGCTACAGCACCCTCCCTGCCTTTCTGTGCTGCCTGTCTGGGTGCCCGGCAAGGGGCAGGGGGCGGAGCGGTGCTGGGGTGGAAGATGCCCTCTGGGCCCTCCTTGCAGTGCAGCGCTAATGCGTTTGTGCGCAGACCTCTCAACTCCAGGAGCGGAGACAGGTGAGGTGTGAGTGTCCGTGCACAGGAAGACCAGCCCCAGGTGTGCCCTCAGGAGAGGGCGCCTGCCTGCCTACTGCAAGGAGGGCAGGAGGGGCTTTTTGTGAGGCAAATATTGGCGGAGGGCAGGGCAGGGGCGATGGGGGAGAAGGATGGGAGCCAGGTGCAGATTGTGGGGGCGCTCCAAGAAGCCAAATGTGGAGGTCTGGAATGCGGCAGGTGGCCAGGTGGCCAGGACAGTGGAGGGTTCTAGGAGACACTGAGCAGGGCTGGGTATCTGTCTGCATAGCTGTGGGGGCTGTATTTGGGGGACCTAGGTCAGAGTCCAGACAGGGAAATGGGGGGCCTGAGCTGGGACGGAGCTGCCGGGCTGGAGCAGGGAGACTGGGGCCGAGGCCAGCAGGCCAGGCTCAGCAAGTGGACGTGTAAGGAGAGGAGAGGCCGTGCGGGCGATTTCTGGGCGAATAGCGTGGTGGGGTTATCCCTAAGATGGAGTCACAGGAGGAGGTTTCCCCAGGGACATCCCTGGCTGCACAGGGAGGTTGGGCTGGTCGAAGTCCTGGGCAGCATGAGATGGGCTGGGGAGAGGACACAAGGCTGAAGGGAGCCCGGAGGACCACCCAGAGCTGTGAGGGGAGCAGGCCTGGCTGGGGGTGTGGCAGTCAGCCTGCCCTCAGCTGGCAACGCCTGAGTCACCTCTGGACATAGCCAGGATGACACAGCTTCCCGAACTGCAAAGGCAAGGTGACCAGACGTCCTCCGAACCCGGCAGACAGTCGTGTCTTGCTGAAGGGCAGCCAGCCAGGCCCAGCCTGAAAGCTGGGTGTGGGCCAGGCTGGTGGGGTGCCTGCAAGGCTCTGTGGGGCAAGCCCCACGTTGAGGGGAGCTGGTTTGGGACTTCAGTGCCTGGTGTCCAGAGTGGGTGGGGCGGTGGGGAGCCCCCCGGCTGTGGGAGTTGCCTGCAGTGGGTGGCATGTGCCTGCTGGCCCAGCCCTGCCACGCGTGCATTGGATGTGATACGCAGTCAGAGGAGCTGCCTTCACCTGGAGAGCCCACCCTCACCGAGCCCAGACTGGCTTCCTGCTGTCTGAGGAGCCCCTCTAGGCTGTCTGTTTAATCTGGGTGGGACCGAGCGCCTTCAGAAGTCCCAAACCACCTTTTCTGCGAGGCTGTCTGAACCCAGGGCTGTTTGGGTGGGGTCATTGCTCCCAGCTGGCTTTACTGATGGGCCCTGAACCTGGGTCCAGCCCAGCACCAGCCCGTGTATGTGCGGGAGGCCAAGTCAAGGCAGTGGGCAGTGGCGAGCTGGCGCTGCTTGTTGGGAGCTGGTGAGGGAAAAGTGACCCGGCAGGGTCCGAGCCCCTGGCCTCCAGCTCACCTGCCTCCTGGGAGGGCAGCCCTTGGCTGTGGAACCTGGGCTCCCTGCCCTGCCCACCAGGGTGCCCGGGATGAATTCCGGGCCATTCTTGGGCAAGGCAGCCCTGCCCCATTCATATGGGGCTGGGAGAGGAGGGACACTCTGCCCCTCGCTCACTCCGGACTGCGGTCGCGGAGCGGACCCTTCCAGGCTGCCAGTGTTTCCGTCTGTCAGGAAGTGAGCTTCTCTGCAAACCTGTGCACATGCCCGTCAGGATCCGTGCCTGGCTTTGGGTTGGAAACAGACCTCTGGAGTTAGAAAGTAGTCCCCTGAAAAGTGTCCCGAGGGGCGGTGCTGGCTGCGTACCACGGACGGGCAGCTGTGCAGGGCCTGAGGCGGGTGAACGGTCTGCACACGACAGCCAGACACCTGAGCCCTGTTCCCCGATGGACGCGGGGCGCAGGAGCACCCTGGGAAGCTGCGGAGGCCGTGTGGGTGCTGACACGGTGACACTGGTGTGAGGCTGCAGGGCAGCAGGTGCCTGAGCTGGGGGCGAGGTCCCGTGCTGATGGCTCGGTGTTTGAGAAGCAGCTGCAGGCGGGGCCCCTCCAGATCTCCCCAGAGTGAGCTGGTCCTGCGTCTGGAGTGGCTTCAGGCCGCACCGTGTCTGGTAGCTTCTGAGGAGGTGCAGCCCTGACTCTGGGCAGCCTGCGGAGACCTGCAGCGGGCGGCAGAGCCGTGGGGTCCCCCGTCTCCCCTAGCCTCTGTCCCTCCTGGGGTCTGGGTGCGGGCCCCAAAGCCTGGGCCTGAGAGCAGAGCCCCAAGCCAAGGTCTCTCCTGGTGTCACCTGCTTGGCCCAACTGAGGCCCAGCCGGACAGAACCCTGGGGCCCCTTCTTTTTCAGAAAAGATGAAAACCCCCGAGGAAAGAGGTTTACGGAGCTGTTCTCAGTGTGATCTCAAGGTCATGAGTATCACCCCCACTTTTACACGCACTCATTCTGTCCCTGTTACTCTCCTTGAACAGGTCTGCGAACTAGAAACAGGTCCTGAGGTCAGACCCCAGGTAGGAGGGAGCCTGGGCCTCTCCTGTCTCTTCCGAGGCTTGCCTGGGGTCTGGCCCCCCGGAGGCCCAGGGAGGTGGGCAAGGTGGGCTCAGATCTGAGGGACCTGACTTTTCGGGTGTGGTGGGAAGTGATTCCTGGGCCTGCTGGTAGGAGGGGGTGAGTCCACCGTGTGGAGGCCCATTCTGTGGGCATCCCGGCTATGCCCCTCTGAGTCCCAGCACGGACTGTGGTGGGCAGGTGCCCAGGAGGAGTCCCTGCCCTGAGCTCTGCCCTGTGGCCTCTGTCCTGGCTGAGCTGGCGCTAGACACTGTGATCCCTGTCTGGCCGGGGTCTGCTCAAGGCCAGTCCTGGCCGGGCCTCCCTTTCCCTCGGGCGGGCCGGGCGGGCGGGGTCTGTGGGAATGTGAGCTCTTGCTCTGTAAACAGCCGGTGACTCACCACACAGCTATGCCTGGCGGCTCCAGGCCCTCGTGCGCTGACGTGCTCTGGCCGAAGTGCTGCGCCGCAGTGACACCACCTCCTCGCGTGGAAAACTTTCTCACAGTCCCCCCCCCCCCCCCCCCGCTCTCCAGTGCCTTCCACCTCAGCACCTGAGGGAAGGGCAGGCCTGTGGGCACAAGTTGGATGACCCTTGGTGCCAGGGGTCAAACCACCGTCGGAAGTAGCTCTCAGCTTCCTATAGGACCTCCCCAAACATGGCCTGTCGTCTGGGCCGCACACGTGTGACCATGAGGGGTGCAGAGGAGCCCGGAGCCTCGCTGTCCCCAGCCCTGCTCTCCATCACCCGTCACAGTGCTGGGGAGAGCGGCCCATCGAGGTGGCGGCTGCCAGTCTCAGGTGCTGAGACCCTGCACCTCGGTGAGGAGTGCAGAGGGTCCTGGGCTTTGTCTGAGGGAGGTGGGGTGCAGGCCACCCCACCGAGTCTGGCTCCCAGTGGAGGCTTTCGTGTGGCTCCGTCTCTGGGGCCCTGTATGTCTCTTTGCCGTTCTCTCTGCTTGTTGGGTGTTGGGATGTCGGGTGGACGCGAGCCTGGTGCCATGCCCCTCGGCCACCGGGGCACAGAGGCTTGTTTACTGTCCCACAACCTGTGGTGTCTGCACTGTTGGCCTGAAGCCATTGTTGCTGTGGGCTTCTCTGTTTCCATGACGACCATCAGGAGTTGGCTACTTCCCAAGGTCGCCATGGCAACTATCAGAGGGGAATCATGCTTGGGATGCTTGGCTGGCTTTTCCATGAATGATTAGAATGTGTGACACAATGCAGACGAACTCGAGAAGGGCGGGTGGGGGCTGGCGGCGGGGACAGCTCCGCCAGACAGGCGATGCATTCACCAGGCAGCAGCTCCCCACCTCTTGTCTGTCCCAGGCTGGCGTAGGGAGCCCCCGCCCACTCTGTGTGCCCCAGGTCATGGCTGTGGGGCAGCCCAGGTGGCGGCGGTGACGTCACAGCTGCAGTGCCCTTGGCAGAGGTAGGCCAGTGGGGAGGGCGGGGCCGGCTCCACCAGCCAGCGGGTGAGTTCAGCAGGACCAGGGGCTCCCCAGGGGGGCCCTTCCTCTGGGGTAACGGGGGTCTTGCCAGGACAGGTGCTGTCCTGAGGCTAGCAGCTCCTCAGGTGCCAGGTGTGGCCACCTTCAGGGGAGCCTTTGCTGTGGCACTTTGCACCCACAGGTGCCTGCGCCTGAGCTCAGAGGAAGACCAGAGCAGGGAGCAACAGCTGCTCAGCCCAGAACCACCCCGGGTGCTGTCGCTCTTGTCAGGGGGGCGGGGAGGGGCACTGAGGCGAGGTGGGTCTGGCCATTCCTCACTGTTGCTGGAGTGGGAGACACAGCTGGGCATCCACCTGGGTCCCCTGGGGACCCAAACACCCCACAGCCAGGGTGCCTGCCTGGGGGGAGCCCCTCAGGATGGGCGGGGCCACTGGCTCTGGGGCACTGAGACTGGACAGGAGGGAGGGTGATCTGAGCCTCTCGACCTGTCCGCTGTGGGATGGCCCCGCAGCCCTTGTGATGGCAGCAGTCCCCAGCCGGGGGACTGACCACACCCGCTTCTGTCTCCTGTGCTTTTCTAGTTACGGTTTCCAAGCAGTTCTGTCCGGGTGACTGTGCCCAGGTTATGACGACTAATCCCAAACCGAACAAGGCATTAAAGGTAAGCAGGGGTAAGAGTGGGCGGGCCCCCAGACCCTATCTTTCCCAGGACCATCCTCAGACTGAGGAGAGGAGCCCTGTCACCTGGAAAGGGGTGGGGACTGTTGGCTGGAGGAAGCGTCACTTAGAGGTGGTGACAGAGTCGGGTTGAGGCCTCAGGAGGTCCAGGAAGATGATTCCCGTGTGGTGGGTGGTCCCCCAGGTGTGGGTGCTGTGGCCCTGGTCTTGGGAGCCGAGTGGGCTCTCCATGCATTTGTGGGCTGTGCACCCCCAAACTTTCTTGCCCCCACCTGCCAGTGTCGGTCCTGAAGCAGGTGTTGAGGGGTCATGGGGCAGCATCCACATGGTGGTTTGGGTGGCCAGTGTAGCCCACGGCCCCTCAGGGAACCTGTGTGCACACTTGTCGGGTGCCTCCTGGGGGCAGCCTGAGATGCGGGGGCGCTGCCAGGACCCGGACGCCCATCATTGGAGCCGTCCTCTGGGCCCGTGCTGACCCTCACCCCGGCCTGCAGGTCAAGAAGGAGGCGGGCGAGAACGCCCCGGCGCTCAGCGACGAGGAGCTGGTGTCCATGCCGGTGCGGGAGCTGAACCAGCACCTGCGGGGCCTGTCCAAGGAGGAGGTCGTGCGGCTCAAGCAGCGGCGCCGCACCCTCAAGAATCGGGGCTACGCTGCCAGCTGCCGCATCAAGCGGGTGACGCAGAGGGAGGAGCTGGAGCGGCAGCGGGTGGAGCTGCAGCGGGAGGTGGAGAAGCTGGCCTCGGAGAACGCCAGCATGCGGCTGGAGCTGGACGCGCTGCGGGCCAAGTACGAGGCCCTGCAGACCTTCGCGCGCACCGTGGCCCGCGGGCCCATCACACCCTCCAAAGTGGCCACTACCAGCGTCATCACCATCGTCAAGTCCCCCTCCGTGCCCTTCTCGGCCGCCTCCTAGTGCCAGTGGCAGGGCGCCGGGTGGGCGGGTGGCGGGCACATCTCTCTTGCTGCCAGAGGGTCCATGGGAACAGACCCCCAACATCTGAGTCCACTGCAGACTCCAGGGGGCTCTCCCTCGGGGTGGTTGGGGTGCTGGATGAGGAGTAGGGTCTCATGAACCATGTGCCACACGCCTTCCTGCACGCGCCCACACGTGCCCACACGCGCCCACGCACACGCACACATGCTGGCCACCCTCGGCCCGCCCACTCTACAGACGTCTGCTTTCGGGTCTGTCCCAATGAGGGAGTCGGGGTGTGTGGGAAGGTCCTCAGAAGGTTCTTAGCCAGGTGGCCCGAGGGGAGGGGTTCTGTCTTCCACCCCTCAGTCCACACGTCAGCACTTGCCCCCTGCTGTGACCACCGGCCAGTACAGAGCCCCTGCGCTGGCTGAGCTCTGGTGTCCCAGGAGGGACCATTTGCCCATGTGTCCAGACACTGCATGGGTCCATGTGGAGGGTGCATGCATGTCCCTGCTGGGGAGAAGAGGGAGGTCCCAGCTCCCAGCCCTAGGGAGGTGGAGCCAGGGGCGGGGGTGGAACAGGTGCCTATTCGCCGTGGAGTGGGGCTCCGCCTGCTTCCTGCTGCTGGGCGAAGAGGCAGGATGCGGGTGGAACGTGAGGAGAGGTGGCGGGCACTGGGCTGGAAGGCCCAGAGAGGGCACGCACTCGGCGACCTTGGTGCTTCATCACTGCCTGCAGCGGCCACTGCTCTCCCTCTTTGGAGCCCAGGGCCTTGGTGACCTTTGCTGGGGCACCCCTCCCTGCGCTGCTGTGGGTGCCCCCTCCCGCGCGCCCTGGGAGATGCTGGGTGAGCTGTGAGCTGGAGCCCACCACCCACCCAACACCCAGGGCTCAGCCCCCCAAGTGAGACCCAGCAAGCTGTGAAGCCCCCACCCCTGGCAGGGTGCCGGCTGTGCTGGGAGGAGGGGCAGCGCCGTGTGTGCAGCACGGACGACGGATGGAAAGTGACTGGGGCCCCGTGGGCCTGGGTGGGCTGCAGCCTGAGAGCAGAGGCCGGGTGTAAAGGGAAGCTGTGGGCGCCATAGCTGTGGTAGGTAATCCACATTGGATATCAGTAAGGATCGTGGGGATATTTAAGAGAGAAGTATATATATATAAAAAGTTATATACACATTTTATTGTCCAGATTTTGTACCTGTCCTGTTTGATACTGTAAGTGCACAGCAGAGCTGCAGGCTGAGGCCCGGGCCGGAGCCCTGCCCACCGCTCCCGTCTTCCCGCCTGCCCTCTGTGCAGGGCCCTGAGGGTCCAGCCAGGTGGCCTGCCAGGCAGCTGCCGGCTCCCCAAGCCCCCGGTCCTACGGGGCGCAGATGGCTCCGCCCCGGGACGGGGGTCCTGGCAGAAGACTGGTCATGTCTCATGCTCTCCTTTCAGATTACTGAGATTTCACTGTCACGATTTAATATATGGATTTTATTTAAGAGGAAAGGCAAGGGCCTTCGCCGTGTGGGTTTGTCCTGTCTCCTGTGCTTCAGGGCCCTGCCCCAAGGGCGGGCGCCCCCCTTCCCAGGCGGCCGGGTCTCCAGCCCTCCAGCCGCTCAGCAATTTCATTTCAATATTTATTTTCCTGCTGCTTTCATCCTGATATAAATTATTGAGAAGAGACCCGATGTCGTGGCCCTGGCTCCTGTGCGGTGCCCTGGCCCGCCCGTCCCCACAGCCACCACCTAATTTATTGCTGTACGTCTCCGCCGTGACGCGCTCGTACCTTTGCAATAAAGAGTTCTCTGGTTTCGGGTCTGTCTCGCTGTGTGGTTGGTGCTCTGCCGTTGAGTGTGCTGTGCCCTGACCCCAGCCCTGTCCCTGTCCCCCTCACCCGGAGGGCACGGTTCACACCAGGTGCAGCTGTGAGCGGGGTCCCCCAGGCTTCGAGGTCCCACGTTGGGAAGGCCCTGGGTGGGAGGGGCAGCCAGGCCCACTTCCTGGATGGTGGGCAGGATTCTGAATCCCGCCTGCCCTGGCCAGGAGCCCCCATCCATGGACATGGCCTCCCCTTTCCAGCTAGGAGTGCCCCCTTCCCTGGGGGCGTGCCCGGTCACCAAGCCAGCCCCTCACCCAGCCTGTCTTCCGGGCTCTGAGATGAGCATGGAGGTGGGGGACCGGCTCAGGGCTGAGAGCAGAGAGCCCTATAGGGTGCCCTAAAGAAGAGCCAAGGACCCCATCGATCTTCCCTGCCCTGGGGAGCAGCCCCCATCTTCCCAGGGGCAGACGGGTCAGCACTTGGCCTTGGCCTCTGAACCAGGGCCAAGTGAGCCCTGTGTCGGGGTTACTGGAACCGGCCTGCCCTCCTGCCCACGCTGACCGGGCAGCATCTCTGAGCTGCAGGGCCAGCGATGGGTTTGGATCCCAGCCCAACTTCTGCATGACCTGGGCCAGTTTCTGCCCTCTCCCGGCCTCGAGCTCCCTTCTGTGGTCGCTGTCGCCCCGAGCTTGTCCACTGCAACCGTAGATGTTTTCCCAGCTAAGCAGAGCCCCTGCAGCCAACCCTGGGAGGACCCCCCCCCCCAGCCTGCTCCTCCTCAGGGAGCCTCCAAATCGGCGATACCATGACTCAAGCTGACGACAAGCCTGTGAGCGTGAGCTGGGGAGGCAGACCCTGGTCTCGCGATGGGGTCCTGTCCCCCAGGGCCACCTGCCTGCTCTCTGTGTGGTTCACTGGGGCTATGGCACAGATGAGAACCCCGGGGCCAATACCAGCTGCTCCTGCCTGTGTGGCCACTCCAGGCCCTGCACGGTGTCTCGGGAGAGCAAGGCCAGCAAGGCCCACACGGCATCTTGATCCTCTCTGGGGCTCGATACCCCCTGCGCAGCGGGAGCATGGACACGTTTCGCCCTCGGGGTAGAGCTGTTCTGTCCACAGGCAGCGCTGTCTCGGGAACCAGGACGGGGAGGGAACTGGTCTTTGTGCAGCCGGCTCTGACCTCGGGCAAATGGCTGTGTCTCTGGGCCTAGGCCCCCTCCCCGGGGCTGTCATGAGGGTGAAGTGTGTGTGCCACTCCTGGCCAAGTCCTCGGCAAACACCGACTTCCCCTCCCTGGGCACCAAGCTACACTGTCTGTCCCCATGCACAGGCACCCAGGGCCTCTGCAGCTTGGAGCCCACTCGTCTCTCGGGCCCTCTCACCCTTTGTGCTCACAGCTCTGGGCAACTCGGGCCCACAGGGGTCCCTCCCTGTGCGGGGGCATGGGGCGGCACCCCCCACTCGCAGCCTCTAGAACCCCCTGCTTGGCCGCAGTCTTTGGGTGAGCCCTGCCTTCCTCCAAACTGCTGCCTGAGGTGGGTGGCGGGGCCCTGGGAGCCGTGTGGGGGCGGATGGGGGCTGCCAACTGCAGAGGGTGAGATAAGTCGGGTGGGGACTATCCAGCGGGCATAGGGGAGGCTCGGCCTATCTTATCAGGACGCCAGGCTGGGCCCTGGGAGAGGCTGCTGGCCTTGATCCATTGTCCCAGGCCCAGGGAGCAAGGGGGCAGGGAAGACCCCTTGTTGTGGACACCACTGGCCAGGTCCAGCCCTGATGAGGCTTTTGAGACTCCTGGCACCTCTTCCTCTTTCCCTGATGACATGGAGCGGGCAGCAGGAGGGGTGGGGGGGACATCCCTAGGAGGTGGCCGCTGGGCCTCCCTGCCAAGGGCTCTCGGGCACCCATGCGCTGCCCAGCCCCCTGCACCTGTCCCCCGGCTCCCGCCCCAGCCTGCTGGGTGCCCAGACACAGGACAGACCGAGACTGGCAACCCTGCCGCACGAAGCCCCCCCCAGGCGGGGACCCTGACTTCCAGACCCAGCCACAGGGGCTCCAGGGGCCTCCCTCTCCCTCAAGGGCTGCTTCTGTTCCCTCTCCCGGGTTGTCAGGGTTATTGGCTTCCGGAGGGCGGGGCCTGCACCCAGGCTCAGCCTGTCACATGCAGGGCAGTGGAGAGGGAGGCAGGTTCCCGGTCCCAGCTCCTCCGTGCCCTCTGGGCTCTGTATGCGTGGCCTCCCACCCCTGAGGGTGGTGCTGGCACAGAGGAGCCTGAGGCTCCGAGGGGGAGGCGCGTTCCCCAGTCTCAGGGGGCACGGGGCAGGGCATGCAGTGTCAGGGTGAGCTCTTTGTCTGTCCTGCTGGGAGGTGGGATGCTGTCCCCAGTACCCCGACTTCGCCCAGGGCTTCCTCCATCCTCACCACGGTGCGTTCATCAGGGCACCAGCCCTGTTGGGAACAGAGGCCATGCGAGTCACTAAAACCCAGATGTTTATGTACAAAGAAGCAAGGTCACTGGAGGCCCTGCACCCCCCAGGCCCACATGGGGCATAGCTCCCGGGGTGAGAACTGGCCAGGGTTCCCGGGGCTGGACGGGTGTGGAGTGACACCCAAGAGGACTATGTGAGGCCCGGCTGAGACCTGCATCACAGCCCCCGCGGACCCCATCGCCCCCGCTGTCCATCCTGCGACCCTGCCCCACCGCGGGCACCTGTGGGCATGGCTAGCTGCACCCAGCAGGTTCCTGGGCTCCTCACATAAGCCCAGGCGCCCTATCCCATGGGCCCGGCAGGTGGGTGAGGGGCCCTGTCCTCTCCAGGAGGCTGGACCACCCGGCCCTACAGCTCCTCAGAGGGGATCAACATCCTCTTCTCCACGTTGTGGCTCTTCCGGCTGCCAGCCAGGCTGGGGTGGGAGCCGGGCCCCGGGGCCTCCTGCGTGGCCTGCTGCGTGTACTGCTGGTAAGCGGGCGAGAAGTTGTGGATGGCGTCGTGCACAATGTCCTGGGGGCTCATGGTCTCCTTGAGGCCGCTGGAAATGCTCGGCATGGGCGTCATGGGGGCTGGGGGTGCAGCACGCAGGTGGTGGGTGGGTCTCCGCCCCCCCCCAAACCCCAGCCCCAGGGCGTGGCCTGTTCCTGCCCTCCGGCTGCCCCGCCTGGGCTCAGCCAGAGGGGACCCTCCCAGTGCAAGGCCAGCTCCTTCACGGGGCTGTCCCAGCCAGACCCCGCCAAGGTTGCAGGTCGGCGGACCACCTTGGACGGCCACAGCAGACACGGGCCATTCACTAGGGACACCAGTACCAACCAACCCTTGTCCCCTGACCCTGTCAGGCTGGTCCAGGCACCTGGGAGGGCAGGGCCCAGTGTGGTGGGCAGGGGCCCTGGGGCCCAGCATCCAGTCCAGCCATCTCTGAGCTCAGACTGCCTGCCCCCTGCCCCGGCTGCCTCCTGCCTGGTCTCTTCCCTGGACCAGAGGCACCTGTCCCAGCTCGGTCCTCCTAGTGGGCGGGGAAGGCAGGGCTGGCCACACCCCACGCCATCCCACAGCTGCGCCATTTCAGGGGGGCCCTCCCCACCGCCTGGCAGGTCCGCGTACCTGGAGAGTGGTCTTTCTCCGAGTACACCTGGCAGGTGAAGGCGTAGCGCAGGGCAATGGAGGCGAACAGCATCTCAATGCAGATGATGAAATTCTGGTAGCCGGCGGCCAGCGTGCCAGCCCCCACTCGGCTCCCGTCTGCCGTCTGGACCTCGGGGATGACCCCACATCTCTCCAAGATGGCCAGCAGCATCCCTGGGGGTGGTAACAGCCACTTAGGCACCCACATAGACAGGAGGCTGGGTCGGAGCTGACCCAGCCAAGAATCCCGCTGCCGCTGCCTCACGGGCTTGGAGAGGGTCGGAGGGAAGGACGAGACTCAGGCCTCTGCAGAGGCTCCCCCAGCTGGCCCTGGGATGTCCCCCCAGGGGGTCACATTCCGTGCAGGGGGAGATGGCGGTTCAGAGGGGCCCCGGAGCCAGGACCTTGGCCTAGTGAGTATCCAAGGATCCCCACAGCCCCAGAACGGGGCCCACCCCTCACTGCCAAGTGGGGCTAGGAATGCCCACCGGCTGGCCCAGGGCCGGCGGGGACAGAGCCCCTCTGCTGCTCTGCACGCCCACCCCTGGGGCCAGCCCTGCACCCAGGCTGTACGGCTTCCAGATGAGAGGGCCATGTGACTCCCTGTGCTACAGCTGGGGAAACTGAGGCTGGGCGCTGGGGGTGGAGGTGGGACTAGAACCAGGCCCTGGGCTCAGCGGCCCCACCCACCCTGCCAGAAAGAGAGAAAGATGACAGCCTTGATGGTGAGGAACTTGAGCACGGGCTCAAAGGGCAGCAGCAGCTCCCGGGTGGCAAAGTAGAAGAGGAACAGGGCGTAGAGGGCCAGGCTGACCGAGGCGTTGTAGATGAGCGTGACGTAGAGGTAGCCACTGTGGACGCTGAGGCAGGCAGGGGCTGGGTCGGGCTGCGCCCCACAGCTGTGCCCGCAGGACCCAGACCGGCGCCCTCCCTCCAGAGGGGCAGGTGGCACCGCAGGGAGGAGCTGGGGGCCGAGGGGACCTGCGGAGAGCCCCACGCAGCAGGGGGGATGTGGCCCTCCTGCCCCATCCGCCTGGGCTCAGCCTGAGGAATGAGCCCTCTGCATGGTGGACACAGGCGTACGTGTGCGTGAAGGTGTCTGTGTGCACTTGTGTGCGCACGTGAGCACTGTGTGCTGTCACGTGTGAGCATGCGTGTGCATGCGTGAGCATGTGTGTGTGTGTGTGTGGACCCTGGCCAAGTGCCCTTGGATCCCGCCCTGGCTCTCAGGGTGGGCAGGTTCCGCCTGAACTTTGAAGCCGGGGGCTCCTCAGGCACACGTGCGACAAGGGCAGGTCCTCTGGTCCTGTTTGCCACCCTTGCCGGGCCCTGTCCCGAGGGGCAGGCTTGTCCCGTGCTGAGCTCTCCGCGGGGCCCTCGGACCCCGCGCCCCCAGCCCACCTCCCTACCAGCCTTACTTGAAGTCGCCGTCATGGTACTTGCCGGCCGCCTGCAGGACGATGGTGACCACGGCCATGACGGGCTTCACGACGCAGAACTGCAGCGTGGCCTGGGGGGGCGGGGCGAGGGGCACGCATGTGGGCGGGGCGGCGCGCGGGGGGCGGGGTGGGAGGGGGCGCACGCACCTGCTTGCAGAAGCGCAGGAACCCGATGGAGTAGGCGGCGCCCCGCAGGCAGCAGGTGCTGTGCAGGCAGCTGGACCTGGGGTGCGAGGCCGGCGGTCCGTCTGGAGGACAGGCCAGCGGCCCGCTGCCCGGGCGGAGGGGCTGGAGGGGCTGGAGGGGCTGGAGGGGCTGGAGGGCCCGCGGGGCTGGGGGCGCCGGGGCACTTACTGGATGGGTTTCCCCCGGATCTCAGCCATGATGGCGCTCTCGCCCCCCAGGTACTGGAAGCAGAGGCTCAGGAAGCTGTAAATAACGAAGGCTGCGGAGCCCAGGGCCAGGCCGGAGGCGTGGGCGCAGTGAGCTGGGCCTCGTGCAGGCGCCCCCCCACAGCGGGTCTCCCGCCCCCACGCGGGGCCCAGTTCATGGAAGACGAGCTGAGGCTCAGGTCTTAGCAGGACCTCGGACCCAACTCCCCCCAGGGGTGCCCACCACCCCGCTAGGGCCCGTTCCCTCTGGCAGCTCCGGGCAGGCCCCGCTGCAGCCCCCCGCATCGCTGACCCTGGGGTCTATCCGCACCTCAAGGCCACCCTGAGCCGACTCAGGCCTGGGGGTGATGCCTGCCCTGGGCCCTGCCTCCGGGACACTCCTGACCTCGGAGCCAGAGGCCGGGCGCACTCACCCTCGTAGCAGTCCCGCACGGAGTCCAGGTAGACGTAGTGCTGGTGGGCTCCCAGGAGGAGGAGGCTGAGCCAGGAGACGAAGGCGTAGACGGGCACCACGAGGAGCAGGCGGATGATGTACCGCTGCTCACTGGGCACCGTGTAGGAACGCAGGTGCAGGTAGATCTAGCGGGAGGGGAGGGCAGGCTCGCCGGGCAGGGCCCCGCCACCCTGCGCGGGGGCAGCATCCACGGGCTCCGTGCTGCTCGTTCTCAGTCATCCACCCACTCACTCACCCACTCACTCGTTCTCGGTCATTCATTCATTCACTCGTTCACTCACTCATGCAGTCACTCACTCATTCGGTCGCTTACTCGTTCTCACTCATTCACTCATTCACTCACTAATTCATTCTCACACTCATTCATTAATTCATTCAATCACTCACTCATTCAGTCACTCACTCATTCATTCACTCACCCACTCATTCATTCACTCACTCATTCATTCACTCACTCATTCACTCACTCATCATGTCACCACATCATCATTATTCATTCCAGTCACTCCCCTCATTCACCAACACTCATCCATTAATTCACTTCAATTCACTCACTCATTCATTCACTCTCTCATTCATTCACTCATTCATTTCATCACACTCATTCATTAATTCATTCAATCACTCACTCATTCAATCACTCACTCATTCATTCACTCACTCATTCATTCACACACTCATTCATTAATTCATTCAGTCACTCACTCATTCACACACTCATCCATTAATTCATTCAATCACTCACTCATTCATTCACTCGCTCATTCATTCACTCGCTCACTCATTCACACACTCATCCATTAATTCATTCAATCACTCACTAATTCATTCACACACTCATTCATTAATTCATTCAATCACTCACTCATTCAATCACTCACTCTCATTCACTCACTCATTCATTCACACACTCATTCCATTAGTTCATTCACACCTCTATTCATTCACCTCACTCATTCATTCATCACACTCATTCATTAATTCAGTCAATCACTCATCATTCAGTCAACTCACTCATCATTCACTCACTACTCATTCATTCATTCAGTCAATCACCATTTCATGCACCGATCATTAATTTCACCGGACATTCATTCCAACCCACTCTCCCTTAATTCATTCAATCACTCACTCATTCATTCACTCACTAATTCATTCACACACTCATTCATTAATTCATTCAATCACTCATTCATTCGTTCACTCATTCCCTCACTCACTCATTAATTCACTCACTCATTCATTCACTCATTAATTCATTCACTCACTCATTCATTCACGCATTCATTCGTTCATTCACTCACTCATTCATTCGTTCACTTACTCATTCATTCAATCACTCATTCACCCATTCACTCACTCACTCACTCATTCTTCACTCATTCAATAATTCACTCACTCATTCAGTCACATGCTCATTCACTCACTCATTCAGCTGTCCAAGGAGGACCCCCTAAAGGGCAGTCATGGTCCCTGTGGGCACAGACATTCCAGAAGGCTGTCTGACATTTCCACGGGACATGAGACGGGCTGGCAACCTCTGACCCCTGTGGAGATTTACTCAGAAACGAAAGATGCTCTCGTGGCATGCACAGTAAGGACCACCCACCCACAGTGGTGGCCGGCTGATTACACTGAGTGCAGCCATGCACAAGGGTGTCACACGGCCAGGAAAATGGGGACGTGTCAGGACGACAAGCACCCCCACGTATGTTGACAACGCATAGTCAAAATGGAGAAAAGACAGCGGTGTCTTACCCCCGGACAACAGGCAATGTGGGTGACGATGGCGCCTCTGTAAACCTTTCTAGATTTTTCCACGAGGACATAAAAAAGTGACAGGGTCTTTAAGGGGACGAGGCCCTGGGGAGCCCGGTGCCTAGGTGGCTGTCTGGTGGTCTCAGAGCACCTCTGGAAGGCCTCCTGGAGGAGGTGCCGCGAGCGGAGGGGGAGAGAGGGTGTAGAAGGGCAGGCTGAGCAGAGCAAGTGGTGTGTGCAGAGGCCGGTGCCCTCGGGCACGGCTCGGGGCGGGTTGGCAGCAGGAACAGGTTCCTTATCAGCTGCTCGCTCCCCGGCTGGCACAGAGGGCAGGGCACAGCCACCAGGAGACCTGGACTCCGCTCCTGGAGCCCGTGCCGCCCGGCTGCGTGGCCTTGGCAACTGTCCTCTCCAGCCTCGGCTTCCTGTCTGTGCTGTTGGGCTCTGATGGGCAGAGGGCCTGGTAGCGGGGGAGGGGTGGCTGGAGGACTAGGGTGAGGCTTGAGATATGCAGTTCCAGGGTCTCCGTCGGCCCTGTCCAGCTGGTGGGGCCCCAGGAAGCGCGCACACACACACACACACACAGCTGGTCCCCAAGTTACAGAAGGTCTGGACTAGACAGATGGGGAAACCAAGGCCCAGACTGTGGCTGGGACTGGACAGCCCGACCCTGGGTGCTGGGTAACCTGTCCTACAAATTACAGTCTACACCAGACCCGACACCATCCCACCACCAGGCAGTCAGGTGCGGCTTCATGCAAATCCAAACGTGCCACCCGCCCGTCCAGTCTACCTGTCCAGATGCAGCTCAGTGAGACTCAGTGCGAATACTGCCTCCTACAGGCAGTCCTCCCTGATGGCCCCACAGGAAGTCACCGCCTCCTCCCAGCCCTCTCAGCTGCATCGTGTCTACCTGGCCTCCCTTGCACACCTGATGTGTCTGCTTTATATCCGGTTCCTTGAGGCCACACGGCGGACGACTCACTGAGGCTGCCCCTGCCCGGCTCACTTGCCAATCCATTCCCTACGCCAGGGCCAGCGGAACCACCCCGAAGGGCAGCTCTGCTTGCCGCTCCTCCTCAACAACCTTCCACGCCCACACTGAAGGCCATTTCCCCCCACTGTGTGCAAGGCCCCGCCACCCGGGCGACCCTCTCCCCGGCCTGCCAGGACCTCCTGCCTCCCAACTTGCGCGTGGCTCTCGGGCACGCCAGTCCTCCCTGCGCCTCTCTGTGTACCTGAGAACTCTCAGGACCTCCCGCCGCCCAGCCCCTGCGCTCAGCGGCCACCTGGCTCGTCCTTGCTGCTGGCCTGGTGCTTCTCCATCTGGGGGCTGTCCTGTGTCCCCAGCTGAGTGCTCTCAGCTGAGCACACTGCTGCTGCCCCCTGCTTCCCTCACAAGGGGTCTGAAGGGGGCAGCCCCTGCTGTTGCCCTGTCCCCTTAGTCATGTTCTGACCCCGCTCCACCTCTCAACTCCCCGCAGAGCAAGTCTAAGCCCCCAGCAGCCTCCCGGGGATGCTGTGCCTCTGGGGAAAGAAGGGACTTTCCCTCCCAGCTGCGGGGGCCTGTGGGGACCCCTGACCTCTCAGCCTCAGTGTTCTCGTTGGTGAAATGGGAGAATACTGCTGACGTCAGTGGACAGGCCTGGGGCTAATAAAATACTCCGGGTGAAGGGCCCTCTGCCTGTCAGACGTCCACCTGCAGGCCCAGCTCCCCGGGTCACATTCTGGAGAGCCCCCTCCACGCCTGCCCCTGGCCTGGTGCCATCTCTGAAAGACCCTGGGCACAGCCCCTTCGTCTAGCGCGGAGCCATTGCTTGAGGTCCCACCATCGCAGCAGGTCCAGGCTCAGCTGTGGCCACGTCTCAGGAGGAGCGGGGTCCCGAGGGAGGTGCAGAGGGGCGGGCTTACCTGGTGGCAGGTGATCACCAGGGCGGTCCACACGAACACGCCCGAGATGCCCCGGGCCAGCGCGCTGGTGAGGAACAGCGGGGAGGCTCCCTGGGAGCTGTTCCCCACGGGGTCCATCTGTAGCCCTGTGGGCTCGGGAGGCATGGCTGGCAGGGGGCTGGGCTGGACCCAGGTCGCTGACACCAGGGGGACACTGGCTGTTCCCAGGAGTCCCAGGGCGTTAGTCATCTGCGCAGGCGGGGAGCGCGGGGGAGGAGAGAGCAAAGGTGTCCGGAGGCTGCACGCAGCAGGGCCGGGAGGGGGGAGGCGGTGAGGAAGGAGGCCCCTCCTCCAGGCAGCCCACGCACGCTGGCGTCAGTCACTGTCCCCTCCGGGGCAGCCGCAGTCTGGCCATACTGCCCACTTTCCCGGGCACCGGCGGATCTGGAAGCCCTCTGTGCACAGGGACCCGGCTCCAAGGCCCGGGTCTGGGGCACCTCCTTCCCAGACTCAGCCACCTGGGCGCAGCCACCTGACTGTGACCTGGGGCAGTCCCCGCCTCTGGTGCCCCAGCTTGTGGGGAGCCCGCTTTTTAGGGGCCAAAGACATCTGGGAGAGTGGGGGAGCCCCAGTTGCCCTGCTTGCCAGGGCTGGAGTCCAGGGAGCAGGTGGGGGGGCAGGATTACAGCCCAGCCCCCACTGGCTCTCTGGGACCGTCTAGGTGCCCAGCTTTGCCTCGCTGGGCCCTCGTGCCTGTTCTCAGCACTTGCCAACCTGCGGGGGCACAGGCTTCTCCTCCTCCCACACTCGCAAGGCTCTGTCCCGGGCTCCCCCTCCTTCCTGCCTTGGTCACAGGGCCCAGCACCTACCTCTCAGGCAGGAAGCTCCCGGCCCATCCCTGGGAGGCCGGCCTCCAGGGAAGCCTGGCTGGTCATTCGTGTGGCCACGTGGCCCCCACGGGTGGCCTCCCTGGGGGTGGGGCAAGGCCGCTTTCTGGAGGCTGTGCCAGCCCTGGGCCGGGCAGCAACTGCTTCACCACAGGGTGGCCCACCTGAGCTCCCCCTGGGCTCCGCGGCAGGGAGGGTTGAGGAGGAGGGGCCGAGCAGAGGGCTGGCCCCTCCCACAGTGGACACCTTATCCCTCCTGGCGGTTGCTCAGTGGCAGCTGGCTCGCTGGAGCCCGCTGGCCGCCAGGTGCCCTCACCTGCTTGTGCCAGTTGGCCAGGCAGCTGCCTCCAGCCCGAGACAGGTGGGAGGGGTCCGTGGCGGGTCAAGGTGCGTGGAGCTGGACTGGAGGCTTTAACTGGGCAGACCCCAAGCTGGGGGTGGGGTGCAGGGGCCCTGGTTCCATTTGGGGATGGAAAGTTCTGGAAGGAGATAGAGGTGGTGGTTACACAACGTCATGGGTGTATTAAGTGTCTTAAAAATGGGTAAAATTTGTTATGAGACTTTCACCTCAATTTACAAAGCCCCAGGAGGTGCATCAGAAACATCTCTGGGTTTAGTGGGGGCAGGGCAGGAAGTGGCAGCGGGGCCCAGGCCCTGCTTGGGGACCCGACTCCCCTGCCCCACAGTCAGCCCTGCCAAGGCCCCCGTCTCCGGAGGGGGTGGTGGGTGGGGCCTCAGCTGCTGTCTTGGCCCTGCTCTGGTTACAAATGGCTCGTGCTGCCCAGGCCGGGGTGGCTCAGCGATTAGAGCTTCGGCCCGCGGACCAGAGTCTCGGGTTCGATTCTAGTCAAGGGGACGTACCTCGGTTGGCAGTTCAGTCCCTGGTCCTGGTCGGGTCGTGCGGGAGGCAACCAGTCGATGTGTGTCTCTCACATTGATGTTTCTCTCTCTCTCCCTCCCGCTCTATCTGAAGATAAATGGAAGGTATATCCTCCGGTGAGGATTTAAAAACCAACGAAACCAAATGGCCTGTGCCGCGTGGGTGCCGGGAAGAGGTGTCTGCTCTGTGCCCGTGTTCTGGGGCGACAGGCCTGCCGGCCCTCCGGCACTCCGTGCTCTGGGATCAAGGCCCACATTGCGGGGATGGCTCTGTCCCTCTTAGAGGTGGGAGCGAGGTCCCCAAGAGCTCGGGAAGGTCCAGGGCAAGGCCACCAACCCCTGGAATGCAGCACCCCTCCCCCACTCCACCATTCCCCCTGGGAGCCCCAGCCCAGGACAGGCCTGCCCCCTGCCCCCACTCCCACCGCCCTCAGGTGCCCCCTGGAGCTGGAAGACTCTGCACCAGCTCTTCTCCCAGCCGACTCCTGTCCTGCCCTCAGGGTGGCCCCACCTCTCATCTGCCTCCCCTCCAGGGAGCTTCCGAAACCTGGTGCCGCCCAGCCCATATCCAGCATGCAGGGCGCCAGTGTCCTGGGGCTGCATGTACAGCATGAGGCACTGTGGTGAGATGCCACGAGGACTTCCCAGGGCCTCCTCACGCGGGTTCAGGGCAGGGACTTCCACACTCTGCCTTTCCTTCCAAGGCGGATGGCACTGCAGAGAGGCAGGCGGGGGGCCTGGCGGTCTCCCTGTCCCATAGTTCTGCCGTGGTGAGTGGGGGCGAGGGGATTTTGACATCAGACTGAGCTGCCTTATGGCCCCTGAGGGCGCCCGATTCCCGGAAGCTGCTTCCTCTCAAGGCCACCCCTGCTCTGATGGTGGAGGCTGGTCCCAGGGTCACTCTGGGTTGTTCTCACCGCTATCCTCCCTTGGCATATTCTAGTTCAGCCACTGCCTCCAGGAAGGCTTCCAGAGAGCCCTGGCTCTGAAGCATCCCCACTCCAGAACCTCTTGCGCACTCTAGGCAATGGCTTTGCCTTATGGAGCAGCTTTGGCTTTGGCCTGGTCCTTCCTGCGAGCAAAGGCCTTGTGTGCATTTCATAGACCACCTCAGCAGGCCCCTTTGCTGCTCTGGGCCTCTGCTTTCTCATCTGTAGAGATGAGTCTGGGGCCCTCTGCCCGCCCTGGGGTACAGCGTGCAGGTCTGTAGCATCGCTGGGAGCCGAGGCTACCCTCCACCTTGCTGCGCCCTGCACTCAGGGGCAGGTAGCCATGTGGCCCTTCCAGGGCCTAGAACCCGGGATCAAGGCCCATGAGCAAGCAGGACACCGTGGTGGGTGAGACGACCCTCCTCAGGGGAGAGGGAGGAGTCCACACACAACAAAGGGTGTTTGGGGTGGAAACCAAGGGGTCAGCCCCTGTGTCCAGGTGGCTGGGCGGAAGCCGGCCGTTCTGCTGCCTCTGGGGCTCTCTGGCTGAAAGAGGCCTGGTCCCGGGCAGCTGGTGGCTGGGCCTGCTGCGCCTGTTTCCTGCCTGGGGCTGGACCCTGACCAAGTCTGTCACAGGGCAGCACTGCCGGCCCAGATCTGAGCAGCCCGGGCCTCTGACCAGGTGACCTGACTCCTGCTCCCAGCGGGCTGTGGGGTGGCTGAGAAGCAGCCAGCCGGTCCCAGACCCCAGTGCCCTCGACCCAGTGCCTGGCTTTCACCCCAGTGGCCGCTGCCCGCGGCTCCTGGCCTGGGTGCTGGTACCAGACCTTCCCGGCCTACCTGCCACCCGGGGGCATTTCTGATGGCAGGAGGCTCCTCTCCCATGAAGGGCAGGCTCTCCCTTCCTCCTTTCCTGCCCCCAGCCCCTGAGAGCTGCTACAGACAAGATGGGGGTCACGGTGGCAGGTGGGGGTGACCTGGCACCCTGCCACACGGACCAGCCCCACCAGGGTCCCGGGGCTCTCCCCTGGGGCCATCCCCTGAGGGTACCCGGAGTGGCAGGGCCTGTCACTGAGCGTTTGTCCTGGTCCACCCAGGACCATGGACTCAGCTCATACCCGCCAAGGCTTGGGGCCAGGGTGCCTGGACCGGGACCATGTTGGCCAAGGGCTCAGGTGCTCAGGCCTGCAGGTCACACAGGCGGGTGCTGGAGCAGAGAGGGGAGGGGCAGTGGGGGACCCCCGGGTCCCCTGACCTCCCAGCACTGCCCTGCAGGACTGAGAGAGCCTGGTTGACAGTCCCGACCTGGCCACCCACCGCTCGCTCCCCCTTCCTCTGGGCCCGGGCGCGGGGACCATGGACCCTCCCAGCATTCTTTCTGGGATCCCTCACTGGGGGGGATCAGGGAAGCATCGCCTCTGGGTGGTCAAGACTCCAGTTCCTCCCCTGGGCTGGGGCACTGGCCTCTGAGCTGGGAGGAGCAGGACCCAGGGCTGGACATGCGGGGTGGGACCCTGACCCACCGCTCACTGTCTGTGACCTTGGGCAAACCTTGGGCCTCTCTCAGCCTCAGTTTCACCTGCTCCTCAGAGGGGGTCACTGCAGCCTGGGAACTGGGGCCCGGCTGGCTCCTTTGGCCCCGTGTCCCACCAGCTGGGTACGTCATGGGTAGGATTCTCTGTTTCCAGGCTGAGGGGCTGACCAGCCCAGCACCCTGTCAGCTCGGGGGACCCCAGACTGGAGTCTCTGGGACTTTGTTCCCTCCTCCTGTTCTTTCTGTCTTGCCCATGCCCGCCATGTCCCTCCCTCGGCTTGTCACCTCTCTCCAGGGAGAACCTGCGTGTGCCCTGGGCCCATTTGTACCTGCTCATCGCTCCAGAGTGAGCTGCCAACCCTGCCTGTGTCTGGGAGTGGGGGTGGGGCAGGGGCGCTGACCTGGGCCTGGACTGGCCAGGCAGGCCTTTGACCCTTTGGTGACCAGGTGGCCTCTGGCTGTCAGGGACACAGCCTCTGGGTGGTGAAGGGACTGTGACTCTCAGAATTTCAAGGTATAGGTGTTTTTCTCCAGGAGTCCCCCCCATTGGGATGCTTGGGGCCCCAGTCTTATCCCACAACCCTCTTATATGCACATATACACACATGTACATACATGTATGCACATACGTGGATGCACACACACACAGGTACCCATGCAGTTCACCTCCAACCCTCCTGTATGTGCAAACACATGCACACACATGCATGCATATACGTGGATGCACACACACACATGCACCCATGCAGTTCACCTCCAACCCTCCTGTATGTGCACATACACATACATACATGCATGCACATACGTGGATGCACACATACGTACCTGCACCCACGCAGCTCACCTCCAACCCTCCTGTATGTGCAAACACATGCACACACATGCATGCATATACGTGGATGCACACGCGCGTGTGCACACACACACACATGCAGCTCACCTCCAACCCTCCTGTATGTGCAAACACATGCACACACATGCATGCATGTACGTGGATGCACACACGTGCACACACACACACACACACACATGCACCCACACAGCTCACCTCCCTGGTGGCTCCCTCAGCTAGCCGGCTGGGCCCCTTGGGCAGGTCTGCTGCAGGCCTCCAGGCCTGAGAGGGGTGGCAGGGGTGTTGGGCCCTGCAGTGGGGGCTCCTGCCCTCCACTGTCCTCCTCACAGCAGCCTGGGTCAGCCCCAGATCCTACTGCTCCTGGGGAAGCCCTGGCCTGTCCCCAGATTGAGAACACTCCACCGCTGGCCTGCCTGCCCATCAGTCCAGCCCTGCCTGCCCAGGTGCACCGGCCACACCTCCACCATGCCTGTGGGGGCTGACGGAGGGTAACAAATGAAACAAACCCAGTGCAGGGGTGGCTGTGCAGTGTGCTGTCCGTGGGCTGAGGCACCTACTTGAGGGCCGGTGTTTCTGGGTTTTCTCTTGGAGACCCCTCTGTTTCTCTTGTCCTCCCGGCACTGGGCCCTCCGCCCCTCCCCAGCCAGGGTGCAGCAAGCTGTCCGCCCTTCCCGTCTCCCCAAGGGTGAGCTCACCACTCTGCGCAGCCCACCCTGGAGGCCCTGGCTCGCCCTGGGGGTTCTTGTGGGGCTCCCACAAGAGACACTGAGCCTGTGGGAGACCATCGTCCACGGTCCTCAGACGTGCATGTCACCGGCCACTCCCGCCTCTGCCCTGGGCTCTCTGGGGACCTGCTGGAGAGTACTCTGTTGGTCACTTCCCCTGGCTCAGTGCCTTCTGTCTCCTCACAACCTTCCCAGAGCCTGAGTCCTCGCTTCTCTCCTGAGCCCGAGGCCCCACACGACACAGGCACGTCCCGGTGTCGCTGTGCTGCAGACCATACGACCGAGACGCTGTGCACCCTGCACCGTCTCCGTGTCACTCAGAGGTGGCCGCCCTTCCAGGCACGGGACACCTCTCCTGATTTTTCATTTCCCTCCAAGGTGCTGAGAACAGCAGGTGCCAGCTTCCCCAGCTGGTCCCCATGTGTCCTATTCCACGGGCATTTGTCATCATTGGTTCAGGTGGCCCCAGGGCTCCGCAGCCCCTGGATAAGCCACTGGAGATGGGAACCAGCAGCGGCTGCTCCCCCCGCCCCCCGGCTTCTCATGACCTCCAAGGGTACCTGCCGGTCCCTGGCGAGCCCATGTCCAGTGTGCCCATGTCCACTGAGGGACAGGGAGGGAGTGGGGGCTACGGGACAGGGAGGGAGTGGGGGCTACGGGACAGGGAGGGAGTGGGGGCTTGCAGCTCACCAGGAAGTGTGCTGGACGAGAGACACTGAGCCGGTCCAGGGGCACGGCCTTCAAAAGTGGACCTCGCCCACCTGTCTGCACTGCCCGGCCGGCAGATTAGCCCAACACTCATCATTCACACTCAGCCACGTTGGTGGAAGCTGTAAGCACAGTCGGATGGCCTTTCCCCCGAGGAACAGCCCTGTCTTTGAACTGCAGGCCTCCCCTGGGTTACAGCCCCGGGCGCAGAGCACTGCAGAGGCCGGAGGCCTGGAGGCCGGGCCCTCCCAGCCTCACGTCCTGCGTGTAGGGCAGAGCAGAGCCGCCAGGCGCTGGCTTCCATGACCGGAGCTTTCCATCCCGGTCTGCGCTTTCTATAGCTACCAGGCAGCTCCAGGCAGCTGTGAATACGCAGGACTGAGAGGTGCCGGGTCCCTGGTTTCAATTATACGTCAGTTACGCAGCCAACTTCCAGCTGGCAAATGACGCGGGGCAGCGGCGCTCACAGCCTGGGGCCCACTGACGGCCGGTCTCCGAGACTCGCCTCCTCTCTGGCCTCAATGTTCTCCACGGCCTACCTGCCTCTTTTTTTTTATCCTCACCCGAGGATATTTTTCCATTTTTTGTACAGATAGAATGGGAGGGAGAGAGAGAGAGAGAAACATCGACGTGAAGGGACACACCGAGCGGCTGCCACCTGCACGACCAACCAGGGCCGGGGACAAACTGCAACCGAGGTACCTGCCCTTAGCGGGAACCGAACCCGGGTCTCTCGGGACTGCAGGCTGACGCTCTAACCGTTGAGCCAAACTGGCCAGGGCCCTACCTGCCTCTTAAGGGCTCAGTCAGGTTCTGGATCAGAACCGGGACCCCAGGCAACCCTGCCTTCAGCCGGGACAAGGACAGCTGGGTCCCTGTGCGGGGTCGCAGCTCAGAGGAAAGGAGGCCGTGGCTGAGGCTCCGTGAGGGGCCCTCTGCCCGGGTTCGCATCCAGCTCCGCACTCAGCGGCCGCTGTGACTCTCCCTGCCTGTTTCCGCATCTGTAAGAGGCAGAGGACAGGAGCAACCTCACCCAGCTGTTGGGAGATCGAGTTACCGTGTGTGAGCAGGGCTGACCACTGGCCCACAGGGCCGTGCGAGCGAGCTGTGCCTTTAGGACCAAAGAAAACAGAAGCTGCAACAGAACTTCAGCTCAGACGGAGCCGCTCCCGCTCAGCTTTGCCGCTGGCTGGGAGGAGACATCACGGTTCCGCAGACAAAACACCTTCTCGATGAACGGGACCAGCGGTTTGGGCAGGTCTTCCCATCACCGGCCCTAGTCCGGGGCTTCTAAAATCGAGACTCGGGATTTCAGAAGCTGATGATTCTGAGACACCAGATAGCCCTTTCCAATCTCAAGAACACACGGACTACACCTCAGGTGTCTCTTCACGAGAAACTTCAGAGGTGAACCCCGAGTTCCCAGGGTGTCCTGGGTACCACCTGTTTCAGGGCTTGGCTTCTGTGAGTAAATGCCATCTGAAGTCAACAGCTCACCAGAATCCTTGGGAATATTTCCTGGGATCATCTCCAAAGCACAAACCCGACCTGACCTGCAACCCTTCAGCAGCTCCTCCCGAGCTCAAGGCCAAGTCCAGGGCCTCAGCACAGCACAGAAGGCCCTCTGCTGTCTGCCTCCCCTTGGTGTCCTGTTCAGCCAGCCCGGACACCCTGGTCTGATGGTGGCATCGCTCGCCTCGCCAGCCTACCTCCCTGCCTTCATGGGAAACGCCCTTCTCCCACATGCACAGCTCCGTCCCTGGGCACCTTCCCCGGGCAGTCCCCACCTGGTCCGCACCATGGGCCCCTCGCCTGGCTGGTCCTGTGCCTGTGGGGTGACATGCCCCTGCTCCCAGCTTTCCAGGACAGGGCTCCTGAGGATGGGGTCTGTGCTCCCGGCCCAGCCAGCTCCCAGCAGCTCAGAGGAGCCACAGGAGAAGCAAGATGAGTGCGTGGAGCCTGTATTTGCCACACAAGGTTTCCTCCCACTCAAGTTCTCCGTGTCGTTAAGGATGGTGGAGTAGTTTGGGTTATGCACTTTTTAAAAACAAATGAACATGTTTTTATTGATATTTTTAGATAGAGAGAAAGGGAGGGGGGAGAGAGAGAAACATTAATTGGCTGCCTCCTGAAATCTGGGCAGGGGCCCTGACTGGGACTTAAACCAGCACATTGTCGCTGCACGGGACGACAATCACTGAGCCACACCAGCCGGGATATGCACTTGTTTTTAATATAAAAATACTTTTCTCCAATAGCTGAAACTATATATACATTGAAGGCCAATGACAGTGTTTCAATTCTTGAACATAACCACGTGGAGCCTGGTGAGAACCACTCAGGATCCTCCCACTCCACCGTTCGCCTCCGCCCACGGACAGTGTCAGAAGCCAAACAGAAGTCTGCGGGAGTCGAGCGCCTCTCCTCTGGCTCCCAGGGCTGGAGCCAGAGAAAGCCCCTCCTGCCGGCTGACGGGGGTCCTCCCATGGAGGGAGTCCGAGTCCCCGCTGGGCCCTGCTGGGCGGCAGCGGGGCTGCTGCTCCAGGCTCACCACACCTGGCACCCCTGAATCACCTCCTTCAAGGCCTTCAGCCCCTCCATGCTCCTGTCCTTCGTGGCCACGGCAAGCAGGACCGCCCTGTTGCCAGCTTCCTGAGACACAAACGTCACCAGGTTCTTCGCGAAGACGTGGATGAGAGGCTGGGGAAGGAAGGGGAGAAAACCACTTGAAACCTGTTTTGTTTGGCTTTTCCTTGGTGCCCTACTTAAGCACTTCCCAGGAACCCAGACTGGCCCCGCAGCACCATTAAGTCACCCCTGAGAAGTGCGAGGTGAGGTGACTCCGTTCAGCGGGCTTCCTCCACTCGGTGTCCTCGGCTCCCTGGCTCCTGCCTCGCCTGGCTGTCTGCAGGCAGGACTGTCACGTCTCGGGGGAACTTTCCGGAACGCAGCGGTCCCGCATCATGACCATGTCAGACTGGGGGGGAGGCCCGCACTGCACACCCGACACCCCCTAGTCGGCCCGATAACAGGCCGAGGGGCTGGGGAGGCGCCACCCAGCGCGGGCGGGTCCTCACACCCGCGGAGGCCCGGGACATGCCAGGGCCCTGGGGGTGGGGGTGCCGCCTGCCAGACGCTCCCTGTCTGTGTTGACAAGCTCTGGCCCAGCCGGGTTCTGCCCCCGGGGCTCCTCCAACCGCGTTACCTCGTCCTGCCCGAGGAGGACTCGGGTGGTGAGCACGGGCTTGCTGACGTCGCTGGCCACGGCGCTGGGCTCCAGGGCGACCAGGGTGCCCATCTTGCCGAACTGGGTGACCACCACCAGGATGTGGCTGCTGAAGGCCGTGCAGACCACCTGCGTGGGGACCCCGCACACCACTTCCGTCCTCTGTCTGGACGTCACCAAGGGCTTGCCCTCCATGGCCGCGCGTCTTCAGCGAGCGCCAGGCAGGCGGGGCGGAGGGAGGGGGCGAGTCCGTCAGCGTCGGCGCCGCCTCGGGGCCCCGCACACCGCGCCCCCCGGAGTAGGAACGGGGCGCCCGTGCCCGGCGGGCTCCGCCTGCGCCCTCCGCGCTCGGGGCCGACACGCGCGTCCACGCGACAGGCCCGGCTCCAGGCCTCCCTCCCGGGGCGGCACCGCCACGCGCTCGCCGGCCGTCCTGCGCCCCGGCCGCTCACCCTCCGGCGCCGTCGGGGCTGCACGGCCGCTGGCGGGGGCGGGCTCCGCGGGCCAGCAGGGCGGGGCCGGAGCGCACCCACGGGGCGCTCTGTCCTGCGGACACGGCCGGCCCGCGGGGAAGCGGCGCGACCGCCAGGCCGGGCGCAGAGCCGCAGGCGGACCCAGCACGTGCCCCCGCCTTCCCGCCCGCGCTCACCTCTCTCGCCGCGCCCGGAAGTGACGCACGCGGGCGACGCAGCCCCGCCCCCGCGCAGCGCAGCCCCGCCCCGACAGGCCCCGCCCCGCGGCCCTGCCGGAAGTGCAGCCTGCCGGGCTTCCGGTGGCCTGGCCAGGACTTCCGGTCCCCTGCCCAGCCCTTCGGGCCTCGGGGCGGCTGGATTCTCGCTCGTCGGAAGTCCCGCTGGGCGCGGTGGAGGCGTTTGGAGGTGGCCCGAGACCGATGTTGGGGTGTCTAGGTTGCCGACGTCAGGGACGAGTAGGGGAGAGGCACCCGTGAGGATTCGCACACGTGTCGTCCTGGCCGGTGGCTCAGCGGTTAGAGCGTCGGCCTGCGGTCCGGAGAGACCCGGGTTCGGTTCCCGCTAAGGGCACGTCCCTCGGTGGCAGTGTGTCCCCGGCCCTGGTTGGTCGTGCGGGTGGCAGCCACTCGCTGTGTCCCTTTCACGTCGATGTTTCTCTCTCCCTCCCACTCAATCTGCAGATAAATGCAAAAATGTCCTCGGCGAGGATAAAAAATAAAAAAAATTTAAAGAATGAGTTTGTGTAAAAGCACTTCCCCATGCATTTGGGAGAGGAACATACTTCCAAGTGATGGACGTCAAAGAAGACCCCGGAGACGGACATCTCAGAATATTTAGAACTCCCACCTGCTGTCCCCCAGCCCCGGACACCGCTCACCCACTAACTCCCACCTGCCGTCCCCCAGCCCCGGACACCGCTCACCCACTAACTCCCACCTGCCGTCCCCCAGCCCCGGACACCGCTCACCCACTAACTCCCACCTGCCGTCCCCCAGCCCCGGACACCGCTCACCCACTAACTCCCACCTGCCGTCCCCCAGCCCCGGACACCGCTCACCCACTAACTCCCACCTGCCGTCCCCCAGCCCCGGACACCGCTCACCCACTAACTCCCACCTGCCGTCCCCCAGCCCCGGACACCGCTCACCCACGAACTCCCACCTGCCGTCCCCCAGCCCCGGACACCGCTCACCCACTAACTCCCACCTGCCGTCCCCCAGCCCGGACACCGCGCACCCACTAACTCCCACCTGCCGTCCCCCAGGCCCGGACACCGCTCACCCACTAACTCCCACCTGCCGTCCCCCAGCCCGGACACCGCTCACCCACTAACTCCACCTGCCGTCCCCCAGCCCCGGACACCGCTCCTCCTCCCTCTCTTCACTCTGCTCCCCAGGACAGGCGTGCACCCACCCGGACAACCGTCTTCCTCACTGGTGCGGGGCTGCGTGGCCTCTGTCTGCTGCTTCACATCCTGCGTCTGTTGAGGTTCGTGGACGTGGTTGTGCCAGAACCTCACTCCTTTTGGAGGAAGCGAATCTTGTTGAATAATGAGGAGGGTGAAATGACATCATAGTGGCAGAAGGGCTTTGCTTAGGGCCTGACACCTGCAGCTGTTGAATAGTTTCCTTCCCTCACGGGGCCCTGGCATCCAGTGCCATCCACTCCAGGCTGTCTGCACGCCAGGCTTTTGCAGGGGCACAAGGACGGAGTGGCAGCTACCAGTGGGCCTGGTCCCTGGTTCCCCTCGGCTGGTCTGGTTAATATCAGAGTCCCCTCCGATGCACATTCAGGCTGTGGGGTCACGAGGCCACCGACCTGTTCCCGGAGAGGGGCTGTGACAGTGTAGGAGCTGGGTCCTGCCATATCAGGACACATTTATGAGCAGGCACGGAGAGCTGCAGAGGCAGCAGGCGGGGTACAGGGGCATGGCCACCCTCCTGGCTGTGTGCACACCCTGCTCCAACGGCAACCCTGAGGAGTGACGCCCTGCCCTGCGCACCTGCTTTACCCCAGCCTCATCACTGCCCTCTGCCCCCGCTGGGTGCGACTGCGCCTGGTTGCATCCTGCCTGCCGACAGAATTGCACGTGTGACCATGTTCCCAGCAGAGCCTCTGGTCACAGAGACCCCTGAATAAGCCGCACAGAGATAGAAACAGTTCCATCAGGGTGCTCCACTCACAGAAATGACCTTCCTGGCACCCTGTTTTCCCACAAAAGATAGTGGGCAATGAATTTTCCCCAAGACTTTTTAAGTTGGGGGCCGGGGAACAGGATGCAAGAAGCATATTTGCCACTGAGGTGTTTTGGAGGAAAAATAAAGGCAACCAACTGAAAATCACATATTTTAATGTGAAACAGATCCTGGGTCTATGAAATTCAAATTTCCCCCAAGGGAAATTAACGAATACCGTTAATACCGAGCTCAGTTTATAAGGATCCAGGGAGCAGTTCGTCTGGAAGGAACAAAGCCTGTTCCCAGAGAGCAGTCCAGGATCCTTCCTGTGGTGCCCACAGCACAGGGTCTGGCGTGAAAGCGTGGTTTTCCTTCACACCCAGTGGTGTCCCCTGTTGGGTGTGGACTCAGCCCAGCCGTGCGGGGAGGACAGAGTGGCCTAGGGATGCCCTGTGCTTTGGGAGTTTATGTCGATGGGAGTTTTACATTTAACATCACATGGTGAACACAACCCCCCCTGCTTTGGACCCAGTTCCATCGCGGCCCGTACCTGACAGCTGGACAGCACCCCTCTCTCCGCCGCACTGTCGTCCATCCCAACGGCCTTTTCGCTCCACAGTGAGGCTTTCTGCCCCTGTTAGAAAGACCGACGCTGCCTGGCGCTCATGTCCTGTGCTATTTGGTTAGTTCTTTAATAAACGAAACCTTGACCCGCGTACAGTTCCCAAAAGCCTTTCATTATTTAGACATCGTATTCCCCCTGGAAGGACGCCATCTCCCCACGGGGCTGTGGAGCGAGCAACGGAGGTGCCTGTCCACACGGAGGCCCATAGGCTTGACCTCCCGTCTCCTACAGGAGAGGCCAGAGGCCAGGGCTGCTCATCACAGGGCCGTGACAGACCTCTGCCGACCGGGATGGCATTCCAGTTCACAAAGCAAGGGGCTGGGTGGTGGTGAGGAGGGAGACGTGAGAACAGAGACTTGGACACTGTCTGCTCACCCATGTGCACAGCAGCTTGATGCACAGCTGAAAGGTGTAAGTCAGAGCTCAGCGGCAGATGGTGCACAGACACTACGGGGTCCATCCATAGAGTGCGATATTATTGAGCCTTAAAAAAGAAGGAGCCCTGGCTGATTTGGCTCAGCGGTTAGAGCGTTGGCCCGGGTTCGGTTCCTGCTGGGGGCATGTACCTCGGTTGCGGTTTGTCCCTGGCCCTGGTTGGGTCGTGCGGGTGGCAGCCACTCGATGTATCCCTTTCACGTCAATGTTTCTCTCTTTCCCTCTCTCTCCCTCCCACTCTATCTGAACAAAAAATGGGAAAATGTCCTCGGGTGAGGATAAAAAAAAAAGGAAATTACAAGACATGCTACATCTCCATCCATCCATCCATCCAACCATTTGTCCATCCATTCATCCACCTGTCCATCCATCCATTCATCCATCTTTTCATCCATCCATCCATCCATCCATCCATCCATCCATCCATCCATCCACTTGTCCATGCATTCATTCACCTGTCCATCCATCCATCCACCTGTCTATCTATCTGTCCATTCATCCATCCATCTAGCCATCCACCCATACATCTACCCATCCATTCATCCATCCACCCATCCATAGAGAGGGAAGTTTAGTCTTTGGGCTTTTCACCTGCATGAGCTCATCCACTTTCCTTTGGGCATAAGATGGTTTCCCATGGCTGTCGGTCATCCAGGGGAGAAACGTTTGCTTGGTCATTCACTCCGTGAACGTGGTCTGCTAGGAGCTGGTCTGTGGGCCCCACCTCACTGCAGAGACGAGACGATGAGCAAACAGCCGTGGGTCACGGCAGAGGCAGGTGAGAACAGGAGAAACCACCTCCCACAGGTGGGACAGGCAAGAGCTGCGAAGAAGGGGAAAAGGAGAAAAGCCTCCTTGGAAAACAGCTTTGAAGATGGAGCCAACACGGAAGCAGAGTCCTGGAAACACAGCCCCCACTGCCTGGTGAGAAGCCGGTAGGGATGCTGTGCCCAGAGGTCGTTTGGGGAGGGTGGGGAATTAGGTGGGGCTTTTGTTCAGTTTTTACACATTTATGTACTGCTTGTATTTTGTTATCACTAGCATCCTCTATTTTTATGATCAGAAAAAAAAAAAAAAGGGGGAGAAGGAGACATGGCCTCATAGGCAGGTACTCTTACACCACATGGATGTACCCACAGCCCCCTAGTGGGGTCCAGGCGGGCATAGAAGTTGGTCCTGGCGGGGAAACCAGGCGTGAGATTTGTGTGAGGAGCTGCAGGGTCCCAGACCCAGGGAGAGCTGGGCAGGGAGCACCAGTGTTACCAGCAAACACCTCTGGGTGGCAGCAGAGGCCACGGAACGCTCTCAAGGGTGGCGCAGGGACCGAGCTGAACCCAGTGTGGGCGGAGGAACCGAAGCATCCGGTCTCCTCACTCCCCCTGCTCCTTCCCACCTCGTCCCTGTCCAGGGCCTGCTCCCTGCGTCTTCCCAGGAGGCCAGTCCTCTGGCTCTGTCTCTGTTATCCGGTCTCTCTGCCCTATCCAAACAGCTTCCTAATGGCAAAACTC